GAGTAAGTGAAGTGGAGATACTTCAAGAGACTCAGTGAAACGAGACCAGCCATCAGGAAGCAGGACTGCATCCCGGGTGGCAACTAGACTTGAAGAAGACGAGGAGTGCTTCTTAAGTTCTAGGGACTAAGGCGTTGTAAACTGTCGTTTTTTCAAGCTTAGTGGAACAGTGGACTAGAGGAACGAGTTGTTCCTTGAACCACTATAAAAACCCCGGTGTCATTAACTTTCAGCTTTTACTTTCTGCACTTAAGATTCTACTGACTAACTCTTTAGGTTGGAATCTGTGTCCAGCAGATCTTCCTTCAGAGTTATCAGAAAGGCATTTTGCCTTAGCTTTCTTCTAGAGGCTACCCGGACAGAAACTTATCCGCTGCCTGGTCTAGTTCTGCCATCAGAACTTGACCATCTCTGTCACCAGATTTCGACCATCTCTGTTAAGTCAGACTTGACTTGGAGAAAAGTTTAAATTCCTGAACAGTCTATTCACCCCCCCTCTAGACTGTTCCTATTACAAACGGGACCAACAAGGGCCTACTATGCAATCCGCTTCTCCTTCAAGGTCTCCAACAATGAGGCCGAATATGAGTCCCTCCTATGTGGCCTTCGGCTGGCTGCCAACATGAGGGCTCGGCAGATCCACATCAAATGCGACTCCAAGTTGGTCGTTGGCCAAATCTCCGAAGAATATGAGGCCAAGGAGGGGAGAATGAAACAGTACAAGGAAGCGGCCAAGGAGTTGCTTAAGGTATTTGAGGCACACTCTCTCACTCAAATACCGAGGGCTCAAAACTCCGAGGCCGACATATTATCTAAGCTCTCGGCCGACTCCCCGGAGCACATCTCCAAAATTGCCAAAATCGAGGAACTCAGCCTCTCGAGCATCCATGCAAGCCCCGTTATGAACATACAACAACGTCAGGGGGATTGGATCTCAGATATCACCGCCTTCATCTCCACAGGGCAGCTACCCGAGAATGAGGCCCGCGCTAAACTGGCAAAGCTGAGGGCTCCCAGCTACACCATCGAAGATGGAAGGCTCTACAAACGATCTTACAATGGCACGCTACTTCGGTGCCTTCATCCAGATGAAGCCGAGGTCGCAATGGAGGAAGTGCACAGTGGCACTTGCTCAGCTCACCAGGGACCCTTCTCCATGTCCCGAAGGCTCATTCTCCAGGGCTACTTCTGGCCGACCATGGCCAGGGATTGTGCTGACCTTGCCCGGAGGTGCACCGCATGTCAACATTTCCAGAAAGCCCCCGGCAGGCCAGCGGTCAACTATGCCCCCATCAGTACATCTGTCCCTTTTTCTCGATGGGGGATAGACCTTGTGGGCCCTCTGCCGAGGGGTACCTCCAACAACAGGTACATCATTGTGGCCGTCGACTACTTTACCAAGTGGGTGGAGGCTGAACCCCTCGCCAGCATCACAGAGGCGAAGTGCCGTCATTTCGTCCTCAAGAACATCCTCACAAGGTTTGGCGTCCCCCAGCAGATCATCTCCGACAATGGGACACAATTTGAGGCAGCCCCCTTCTGTGCCCTCCTGGAGGCATGGGGCATCAAACACACCTTCTCCTCCGTTGCCTACCCTCAAGGCAACGGACAAGTAGAGAACGCCAACCGGACCTTGCTCGAGGGCCTCAAAAAGAAGCTGGAGGCCGAGGGTGGTGGCTGGGTAGAAGAACTCCACAACATCCTTTGGGCCTACCGCACCACCCCTCGGCGAGCAACAGGTGAAACACCCTTCTCCCTCTGCTACGGTTTTGAAGCCAAAGCTCCTACGGAAGTCACCCTTCCCACCCGAAGGGTAATCCAATATGACCCCGAGGTCAACGACAGCAACATGGCCCTCGACCTCCACCTCATTTCAGAACGCCGGGAGCAGGCCTTCATCCGGGCAGAAAACTATCGAAGGCAAGTTAAAAGCTACATCGACGCCAAAGTTCGCACCCGAGAATTTCAAGTGGGGGACTATGTCCTCCGGAGGAGGGAAGCCAGCCAACCAACCGAGGGAGGAAAAATGGCACCAAAATTCGAAGACCCCTACATCATAGCAGCCATCATCAAACCCGGGACCTACAAGCTCAAACGCCCCAATGGGAAAGAAGTCCCTAGGCAATGGAATGTACACCATTTAGTTAAATTTTATCAATAATGTAAGAGCGGCCAAGCCCTCATAACTAGTGAATGTACTATCCTATGGCCCAAGGCCTCCAATTTCGAAGAATGAAGATACATTCAAGACATCAAGCCCTCATACTGACTACAGGCCCCAGGTCTCACCAAGAGCCGAGGGCGGACACCATCAACACCTACAACTCCTATCATCAACAACAAGGAACGCCATGTGTTCATTTCCCTTCGGCACCCAGTGCCGAGGGTACATTCCCACCCTCATCATAAAAAAAATGAGAACACCAAGTGTTCCTACAGAAGACCCTTCGGCACCCAGCGCCGAGGGTACACCTCCATCATCAAACATCATCAAAGAAGACCCCTCGGTACCCAGTGCCAGGGATATGCTCTCCTATCAACTTCCAAACATCTGTTGGGAAACACCAAGTGTTTCATTTGAAGACCCTTCGGTACCAAGTACCGAGGGTAGACACCTCCATCAACTACAGCGAAAGGGAACACCAAATGTTCCTACAGAAGACCCCTCGGTGCCAAGTACCGGGGGCTACACATCGAAACTAACACCAAGTGTTGTTTCTAAAAGCCGTAAACCACGAGGACGCATATACCGAAGGCGCCACCATCGGTGCCGGCGGCACGTAGTGCCCCCGGCCATTTGCAACTAGTGTGCAAATGAAAACCCTTCCTTGAAACGCTTTCCGCGTCACTACCCCCAGGGTATGACAGGCATGAGAAATGCCCAGGATTCGACTTTCAAAAACGGAACGCTATCCGCGTCACTACCCCCAGGGTATGACAAGCATGAGAAATGCCCAGGATTCGACTTCCAAACCGAAACGCTCCCCGCGCCACCACCCCAAGGGTGTGGCAGGCCACGGACTATGTCTAATGCCGAGGGGACGACTTTCAAAAATGAGGTGCTTTCCGCGCCATCCCCCAAGGGGAGGCAGGTTACGGACCACCATATCTTGTGCCCAGGAAACGTCCCTCGATCCCCTCGGAACTCGGAAGGTTAACCCGAGGGAGGAGAGCCATTGGTGTATTCTTATGGTCTCCTAATAGGCCCAGCCTTACCAAGAAACCAAGTTTCTTGATGCCTTCCCTTCACCACCAACCAAAAAAAAAAAAAAAAAAGAGAGAGGGGGTGAAGGGGAGTAGACTCAGCGAGAAATCAAAGAGTACACTCCAACAAGATCACAACATGCCGAGGGCTCCCCACGGGAACACCTCCGGTAATTGAAGACTCCTATTTCCCGGAGGATACTACTCAAAGAAATATCATCAGGAAACGGCTATGTCCACTACCTGGTCACCTCCGGTCACAAAAACACCGAAGGCTTCAACAATACAAAGGGACTGGACTATCCAAGGTCCACTAAACGGTACTTCAAACAAACACCGAAGGCATCTGTTATGCACAAATACCGAAGGCCCCTACCCCATTACAAGGGACACAACTGGCTGAGTCAAACTCCACAACTCCTCAGAGTGTATGCCGAGGGCACACACTCCTCATTGGCTTCCTTCACAACAACATGATTCAACATCAACTTACGCAAAGTAATGCAGAGTCAGATGGCACCTATCACCCGAAGGCTACACAAAGAAACAACACTTGAAAAAATTCTAAGTCCTAAAGATTGGGCCCCCGGCCCAACCAGCATTACAGCCAAGGGAATATGGCAGCCGAAGGTCATACAATACAACAACACTTGAAAAAATATATTCTGTCCTAAATGAGCAGCCCCCGGGCATCTGGCAAAGTGATGTGGAGTCAGAGGGCACCTATCACCCGAAGGCTCCCAAGGGAAAATCTACACTTAGAAGATTTTCTAAGTCCTACATATTTTCCCCCCCGGTCAACTACTCATACATCATGAAGGGATCCCATCTCCCGAAGGCTCCCAAGGGAGATTTTACACTTAGAATATTTTCTAAGTCCTACATGCTTTTCCCCGGTCAACTACTCATACATCAAGGAGGGCTGCCATCTCCCGAAGGCTCCCAAGGGAAAATCTACACTTAGAATATTTTCTAAGTCCTACATATTTCCCCCCCGGTCAACTACTCATACATCAAGAAGGGATGCCATCTCCCGAAGGCTCCCAAGGGAAACTCTACACTTAGAAGATTTTCTAAGTCCTACATATTTCACCCTCATCTCGAGGGACCTAATTGCCGAAGGCTACCTATCAATCGAGGGCTACAGCACACAAGGAATCAACACTCAAGAAAATTTCCTAAGTCCTAAAGAATTAGCCCCTGGCCTATTCAATATTTCAGTTGGGGCTCCACAGTAGCCGAAGGCTACATGACATACTACACTTGCAAAAAATATCTGAGTCCTGTGCATGGGGCCCTCGGTCCAACATTCACACATCAGGAAGGGATGCCATATCCCGAAGGCTCTCAGGGGGAAATCTACACTTAGAAATTTTTCTAAGTCCTAGGACTTGGGTTACTGCAAACACCCGAAGGCCCTATGGTAGGCTACACTTAGAAAAATTTTCTAAGTCCTAATTGCTGCTGAACCCTCGGTTGCATATCCAGCAGAGGGAGCCCAACTATCGAAGGCTTCCAAGGGCAAGCTACAATCGAAAAAAATTCTAAGTCCTAAAACATACATTCAAAGGAACAAAGGCATACATCCATAGCAAGACGAAGGCATATATTCGACAATGAACAAATCAAAAGGAAGCATGTTATATGTCAAAGGCCCGAGGGCATATATGTACTCATTCATTCAAAAAAGGGAGTTTAAGTACACTGTTACAAAGGAGGCCGAGGCCAACAATTACAACACAAAAGGGGGGATTACAATTCAAGAAGGGGGTACTGTGGACATCGCCTCGCTCTCGGCTTCATCTTCTTCACCCCCAAGGCCGCACTCCCGGAGGGTCTCTGAGTCTTCAAGAACTGGCCTCTCTTCCCCCTCGGGGAGTGGGATCCTGACATCTGGCTGGCGGGGGGGGGGGGGGGGGGGAGGCCATAAGCCTCTGGACGGAACTCCTCCGGTGCCACCTGGAAGTGCTTCGCAAGCTTCCGGTAGATGAGGCGTTGGGTGAAGAACTCCCCGCCTTGGTAGTACGAGTCGCCCCTCTCGGCAAGCCACATCTTCCCGGGCCCCCCGACCCACTCGTCTACTGAAGCCCCCACCACCGAAGCGAGCCACTCCCTCCGGTCTTCGGTCTTCCACCCTTCGGCCATGAAGCTGGCCACCGCATCCTCTCGGGCCTTGGAGACGGCCTCTTCTTGAGCCGCGCGGGCTTCATCGGCAGCAATACGGGCGGCCTCGGCGGCGGCCTCCCCGGCCCTGGCTAGCCCCTCATTGATCCCTTCGGCCCTTGCAGCCTGCATCCTCTGCTCCATGCCGTCGGTGGCCAGCCGTAGAGAGTCCTCTGCTTCAGCAAGCTTCTTCCTGAGAAGGGCGGCCTCCCCCTCGGCGGCACCCTTGGCCTCCCTCATTTGGTCCACCCTTCGGAGGTGCTCACAGAGGCCCATAAAAGCCTGCAATTCACGAAGGCAAAAATAAGGCATAAGGAACATAGTAAAGGAGAAAAACATAACAATGAGCAGAGAAGGGAGGGGGACTTACGAAGGCGGCATTCAGGAGGACCTTCGCCTCGAGGGGTCCCTCGTCCAGCCGAGCAAGGGCCAGTCGGTCGGCCGACGGCAGCATCTGGCTCATCAGAGCCGAAGGGTTCAAGCTGCCCTCCAACACGGAGGCCCCCTTCGGTACTAACGCCTCCAACCTCTCCCGCCTAAAGAACTCCTGATTGATTTGTTCCTGGGGGGCGGAGGCAGAAGCGTGCCCTTCGTCCACAATCACCACCACATCGGTGATCGGTTGTTTGGTAGGGGCGGCGGTCTTCGGATTCTTGGCCGGGGGCTCGGTCCCCTTTCCAGCAACCTTCTTTTTGCCGGGCCCAGCACCTTTGGACCCTCCGGCACCAGCAGCGGCGCCAGCAGTTTGAGAGGGCCCCTCCCTGGCAGAAGTGCCCGCCGGAGCCTTCTTCTTTCCTTTCGCGTTTTTCAAAGCGAAGAGGGAACCAACATCCATATTGTTACCTACAAGAAAAAAACAGAAGGGTTAGATCGAGGGCTACCAGTTACTACGTCATAAAAAAAAGGCATAATAGGAGAGAACTATCAACGCATCAGTGAACAATTCGGTGATCACCTCCAGCGCTTTCGAAGACCCTATCGAGGGGAGGGTATCTCCCATCCGAAGAGCCCCTCGGCCTGAACTGCCGGAAGCCCAGGCTAAGCAAATCCTCCGGAAGGGTGACTTCTCTGATCTTGACGTGCTTGTCAGACCCCTCCGGCTTCTTGGCAAGCACCTTGCCGTTCTTCTCCAAAGCTGCGCTCCCCACCTTCGGATGTCGCCAGAAGCTATTACGGAGCTGGGCCGGGAAGGGGTTCTCCTCAAGGCGGATGTAGCAGAACCTCTCTTTCCACCCCTTGTGAGACGAGGGCACATCATCAAAAAGCCGGAACTCCGGTACCTGCTGAAGGTTGGCAAAGCCCTCAACATTTGAATATCCCCCCCGGCAAAGGTTGAAGGACATGAAGAATTGATCGAGTGTGGGCTCGACCCCCCGGCTCTGACACAAGGAGAGGAAGCCGGCCACGTAGGAGTGGCTGTTGGGCGTTAGCTGGCAAGGGGCCAACCCCACAAATCTCAGATACTCCAAGAGAAAAGGATGGAGTGGGAACCGGAGCCCCATCTCCATCGAGAGGGTGTGAGCAGCAAAGCACCCCTCGGGCGCGTATCGCAGCAAGTCATCCGCCCTGGGCTCCACCACGCGCGCTGAAGGTCCAACCAGCATCTGGGTGGACTGGTATTCTGCCGGGGATGCCTTCGTCTTCAGCTCTAGGGCGGCAGTATTCAAGAACGAATGGCCCTCGGGTATGCCCACCGGCCGCCCGACATCCACTGCCGCTTGCTTCTTCCTCGGCGCCGCCTTCGTCTTGTGTTTCTTCCCGGGAGCCACACTTATGGGCGTCGGGTCCAATGGCCGGGAAGAGCTGGCTTCCCTGGCACCCCGTTGGGGGGGAATGGCAACAGTCACCTTCAGCCTTTCCCTCTCCTCTTCTTGCTCGGCGGTCTGCACGGCGAGGGCAAGCTCTTCGTCCTCGTTTTCTTGTTCGAAGCCCTCGGCTTCGACTTCGGCCTGGAGGTCCTTCTCCACTTCCATGGCCACTGCGGCGTCACCACCCGCCGAAGACTCCACGCTCGACGACTCCACATCTGAGCATGTCTCCATCTCTACCGAAGGCTCCCCCGAGATATCCTGGGAGTCGCTCTGTGATGACATCTGCTCACTAGTTCGAAGGCTCGGGAAAACTAAGGTTTCCTAGAAAATCCTATCTCCTAGCCTAAGGGCACAATACAGGTAGCTAAGAGCTGAAGGGCAAGTGGAGAACTGACCTTAAGAACGGAGGATTCAACCGAGGGCTGCTGTTTCTCTCTCAAGAAAAATTGGCAGAGCTTCGCTAACAAAGTTTTCGCACACGGAGGAATGCCTGGCCTTGGGGTATTTATAGGCGATGGAATCTGGGCTTGGGCCTGGAAACCGGGCCTCCGGACGGACCGCCATCATTACACACCGCCGTTTCACCCAACCGGTGACGCCGCCCGCGAACGGCCAACCATCACACGCCACGTGTGCCACCCCCCAACGGCTATAGGCTGTCGTTACATATTCCAACGGCTATATTTCCAACGGCTATATTCTGGAATCCCCCGGGTTTTCTACTTCACTCCTCTTCATCAAGGATAGCCTCCGTGCACACTCACTCAGAAGTGCCCCCGGGTTGTGCCCCACACAGCACATAACAGACTCCTTCAGAAACCCAGGGCTTCATATTAGAGCACCCCTCGGGGATTCCCCCTCAGCACTGCAAGACCGGGTAGCCCCCGGGGAGTTGCCTCATTGACGGATGACCCACGACACACAGGTAACGGGAGCCCTCGGGTATCTTCATCACCAAACCAATCAACAAACAGTGGACCCCCCGGTAACAACTCCACTGCTGCCCTCATCTGGAAGGCCCTCGATCCCTGGATTGAGGGGCTCCCCTTCGGCGCCCCCAGGACATCAACAGCAAGCCTTCGGCTAATCAACACAGGAGCCCTCAGAAGAGAGAGCCTTCGACATTCCCATCATTCTCCATTTTTTACCAAGGTTTGACATTTTCGATTCATCATTGGGGGAATTCGGTGCACTCTTTTTCCCTCATTAGGATTTTTTCCCAAAGGGATTTTCCTAATGAGGTTTTTAACGAGGCATCCCCCCAAAATGAAACGAAAAGCGTCAGCCTTCGGCCCACAACAGCAACATAACTACTTTACTCCTTTTCACCACTATTACAAGTGCCTCAAGGAGTGGGGGACTGGAGGATCCCCTCGGGAAAATCACTAAATTACAAAATTGGGTGAAATTCCAACAAACAACAAAGCAAGCCCTCAAGTCCCGACATGTGGGTAACTGAGGGACTGCCTTCGGCAGGGACATAAAAGCAACAACTCCTCACCAACTTCAGAGATCACGACGGGACAACGTCAAAGGGCAAGCACAAATTACTCCTTTTCCCTCAAGTACCTTTCGACAAAAGGAGTGAGGGACTCCTGATGGAGTATATGGCCCGGGAACCCCCGGCCCACAGACTCCTACTACTCCAGCAAAGGCCCAACAGGCCCAAAAGGCCCAACAGACCCAAATCACAGCGCCCAGAGTACCAAGCAGCCCGCACTACGCGCCAGGGGTGCCTTCGGCCCCCCGGCCGAAGGCTCTAAATTCTCACAGAACGGGTTTCTCAAGCAAATTAAGAAACCGGGAGAAAACGGCGAAAACAGTAGCCCTCGGCACTGTGAGCCCTCGGCACCAGGGTGCCATCGGGTGGAAGAGCCCTCGGCTACTGCTCTATAGCCGAAGGCACCTCACTCGACAAGATATCCGCCTCACATGCGTACAGATCACCGTACCCCGCACAGACGTCCCATCCAACAGCCGCATTAAATGCGGCCACATGCGGCTGCCAGCGCCAACCAGTTGAGGTGACCCCTCGGCCAATGAGCGCTTGACACGTGTCCCTGCCCGGCATTTATTGCTACTATAAATAGCACCCCATTCCCTCATTTGTAACCACGCTGAAAACGCTCCACATTTATAATACATTCTCTCTCTCTCTACATTTACTTGCTCTGACTTCTCTCTAAATTATTCCCCGTAATAACCCTCCGGATATATACCCCCGGGTAGACTATCCATCACATAGCTTGGACCTTATCAACCGAAATTGAACTTTTAAAAAGACCGGGTTTACAAAGATATGATACGTCATTTTCAAGCTACTTGGTTCAATGAATTTAATTGGTTGGAATACTCTCCAACAACACATAAGGCATATTTTTATAATGTTTTTATTGTATAGTCAGTCCAGGGTAAACATCGGTCCTGGCTCCGCCCCTGGTAAATTCTATAATTTTAAGTCAGAAGCATCAGAGGTTCTGATGGACAAAACACAACAGTCATACATTTAACATGGATAAAATTACAGATATGAACTTAAATGAATCTGGTATAATTTATAGAAATAAAAGTGAAAATTTTCTACTAGAGATTTATGTTTTGCTCTGGTTGATATGTGTGCAAGTTTGCAATATTTAGTGATTATGTAATGAATTAAGTAACTGAAATTTGAAACTACGAGTGTTGGTGGGTTCAACCAACTCATAGTACTAATTATATGATGGTGAAAATAGTTACTCTCAATCCAAATTGAATAGATCAATTTGACAATGGCTAACACACAGGCCAAATAAGCTCCAATCACACTGTAAAATTGTAAATCATGGGTACAAAATAACAATCAAATTACAAGAAGACATAAATCACATAACTCTGATACTATGTAAAAATGTAATGCTCTATTTTATAATGCCAATCAGATTTGACTAAGCTAGCAACTCGTGATTTTATATAAAAATTTATTACTTCATGTCAATACAGTGTATGATGATAGCCGTTTTATTTATAAAATTGAGTCATTAGATAAATAGATAGTAAAATTTCAAATTGATTTGGGCCAATGGAAAATCCATAGTTTAACACTGTTATTCTAATTAACCTATCTGTTAATAGAAAAATTCCTTAAATAGTTAAAAAATTTATTGCCCCTAAATTGTTGTGGACAAATTCCAAATAGTCAAAATATTGTCAATTACAATAATAACTTTTCAACACTTAAGAAACTCATTTCTAGGGATTTCTAGGGGCTCCTTTGATAACATTGAGCGTGCGTTTCATGATCTCTCCTTTCGTGCGTATTGAAGTATATAATAATCAAAATAAGTAGTAAAATTTTAGTTAATTTTATGACTGAATTTATTAAAGTTATTGCAGAGGATCATTGAACTATTTTTCATATAATTTTTATTAAGAAATTATATTTTGAATATAATTTTTCTGTAATTTAACAGATCCAATCAATTCAACAACTTTAGTCAAAACTTCATCAATCTAAGTAGATTCGGGTCATTCGGCCGATTCATTCAAATTTAGTGATACCAAATAGGCTTCTAAATTGGCTAAACTAGCTGATCTGCCGAAATCGATGAAATGCTGGTTGAAGCGACTGAATTCACTGAATCTGCTGAATTATGGAAGAATTAATTAAAAATAGCTAAAATGATTATATACAATAACCTAAGGCAATTCATCTAGAAAAATAAATTCAATCTTACTTATTTTGGTTGTTTTATCATTCAGCATACGAAATGAAAGGTACGTGAAAAAAGAAAGATTTATAAAGCCGATAAATTGAAAACCGGGTTACCAAACGGGCCCCACTCTCTCAATTCCTTACCTCGGTATTTTTCTTTCTTACTTGGAGATGATATCACACTCCGTACTGATTTCATAGTTGAGTACGTGTGATTATCTCAACAAACACTAATGACTAAACAGCTCGCTTGCTTCTTCTAAACACCCATCTTCCTTACTACCTTACCCATCATACACCCTATACTATACGCGGATACTTATCCAGCCGACTTTTCTCACAGCGTTTGGACACTCGGCAAGAACCCAATCTACCATCCATTTGTCTCTCCACTCATCAAGAAAATGAATTTGATTCAGCACCAACCGTCCTACTTTCCTAAGACCTATCACGCAACTTCCTCCTCCCATCCATATATATACCCCCCACACCTCTCTCACTCCACACTCAAACTAATCACAATTCCAATCCCAGGGGCTTAAAATTCCAAGTGCTTAATTCCAGTTCTATCATCAGTTATCAGGATTTCAAGATCAAGAATCAAGTTTTAAGATCAAGAATCAAGAAGATGGCTCTTGAAGCTTTGAATTCTCCCACTGCCGCCTTGTCTCAGCCAATTCAGTACATTGACCAGTCTTGGGTCAAAGGCAAACGCACCAAACGGCCGCGCAGCGCCGCCACCGAGGAGGAGGAGTACTTGGCTCTCTGTCTCATCATGCTCGCCCGCGGCCACGTCTCCCCTGCCTCGCCTCCGCCCGCGGTGGTTCCCGAGCAGAAGCTTTTGTACAAGTGCTCTGTCTGCGACAAGTCGTTCGCGTCTTTCCAAGCTTTGGGTGGTCACAAGGCTAGCCACCGGAAGATTTCTGCCGCCGGCGGGGGAGATGAAAAGTCAACCACCACCACCGCGAGCGGCGCCGGGAGGGTGCACGAGTGTTCTGTCTGTCACAAGTGCTTCCCCACCGGACAAGCGCTCGGTGGACACAAGAGGCGCCACTACGACGGCGGGAGCGGCAAGAGCGCCGGGACGGGGGTGACTTCTTCGGAGTGCGTGGGGTCCACCGGCAGCTCCCACCGGGAATTCGACCTGAACCTCCCCGCCTTGCCTGAATTCTCCCCTGTTTTCGGCGGCGGCCGCTTGCCTGAAGACGAAGTTGAAAGTCCTCACCCGGCGAAGAAAGTGCGGCTAAACGTGGCCATTCCATCAATAAATCTCAACCTTTCTAGCTAATGATCGACGGCTTGAATTGCTTAGATAGAACCTTACACTTGTATATTGTATACAAGTAGTTTATAAATTTGCAGCTTCAGTTTGGTTTTAGTTTGTTAAATCATTAGATATGTGTTTATCTCTTCATTTCATATCATTAGTTGGGGATATACAGTAGAAAGTATTTGCTGTAGATATAGAATCAATCACTATTCAATGAATTTAATTGGTTCTTTTATAAAATAGTAGTACTTCGTACATAGTAATGTTTCCTAATATTTTTTTGCTAAAATTGATTGAAAAGTCTGGTAAATCGAAAAAATTTATTGATAAGTTTGATAAATCTGAACGATAGTATGTAGTATGACAAATTGAGTTCATACATTTTTTTCCTCAAAAAAATGTCAACTAAAAAATGTCACCCATTTTCTAATTTTTCGTAACCCACAATTCTCAAACATTCATAATAATTCAGCAAAACAATCCGACTAATAGAGTAATAGTAATAAAAAAACCAAAAAAACTTTTGTACACACTCTTATACACACTTATGTTTGTGAAAAGTTTTTTTTGGAATGTTTTGCACAAACAAAATATTGTCTGTGAACCGGATTCACAGACAAAAAAAAGCTTCACAAACATGGTGTGTATAAGGTGCGTACATTTTGTAAAAAAACTCCTTATTAGAAGAGATGAAAAAGTCAAATTGTTGCGCGTAAATGGAAAGATGGATAAAGTCAAATCCAAAATGATGTGCAATAGTTATTGCACCATTCTTGACTTGGCTTATTGCTCCATGAGACTGTAATGCCACGTTTGAATGGGGAAAAAGGGAGGGCCGCCTTAAGAGATGAGGTTGGACAAATCCATCCTTTTCATTGAAACTGAAATGCATGAACATAGATTTTGAAAAAGTGACAACTCCTTTATCTTTCTAAAAAATGGGTATCGTACCTATCATACATTTGAATGGACTACATCACTTTATCATTTTTAATTTAGATTTAAATAATTCAACTGCTACATTATCATTGGTCCATATGGACAAATGTATGATACCTTATGCCCTTATGGGTACGATAGAATTTACCTTTTGAAAAAGAAGCCAAACACGTTTATGTGGCCCTACTCACATTTCGAACATTCTGGGCTGCCGCACCTCCAGTCGGCGGTCAACACGGAGACGGCTGATTCTAGTAATGAAGCCAAATACGCCCAAAGTGCTGTGTTGGAAGCCTAACATCTAGCCAACAAGGCATTTCCAAACTCAACTTCTACCAGTCATAGCCACTCAAGTAAATCTTATCTTAGTGTGAATACAAAAACTCCAGTTGGAAACTGGACTTGTCAAATGCTTAGTAAACTATACACTGCATATACTTTTACCATTTGTTCACCAATGCTAGTGGGAAAGCTAGAGGCCAAGACCAGTTATACTGTTGTAGGATTAAAAGTCAAAAGATTAAAGGTGAAGATTTTTTACTCTTAATTTGATGTAACGGCGGATTAAAAGGGGGAATTAAAAGTGGAAAAGGGAATGGAGGAGTAGGGTTGTAAACGAATCAAATAATTTGTGCTAGATTCGCGATTCGAATTCGTATAAGACGATTCCAATTTGGAAAATTCAAATACAAATATAAATAAGAATATTAATTTTGATTCGAGTTATTATCAAGTACAAATAAGAATATCAGTGTATTCGATTCGAATATTAATCAAATATATTCGATTAATAATAATGGTTATATTAATGTCACTATTAATAATAATAATAATAATAGTAATAACACTATAATAACTTTTAAAAGATAGAAATATCCTCAAAGTGTAGCACATATATACACTTTTGCATACAGATTTCAAGCCCATTTGTAATAAATAAAAATATAAATATGAATACAAATCAATTTTTTGGTTCAAACGTCTTTCAAATACAATACAAACAATTATGTATTCGATTTGAAGAATAAAATTAGAGTTGTTTGACTTTGATATATACAATTATCAACTTATTTCACACATTATTATAAGTATAATTTCTAATATGTGTGTGCTAGTGTCTATTTCAAAAAGTTTGATATAGATTTATATTTATTAATCATAAAATTAATTCACTTTGTATATTGTGTACCATCTAAAAATGCATTGATCCAGTAAATTTAAATTCTAAAGATACATATTAAGTCATAGTATGCATTTACAACATAAAAAATACAGAGTATAAAAAAGTTATTTTAAAGTGATATTTAACTAAAATTTAACTTATGCTCAAATCGATTCGATATTCGTATATGATTCGTTAACTATTCATATTGTTAAACAAATATAAATACAAATCGAAATTAACATTCGTTTCATATTTGAAACCGAATTCGTATTCGAAAAAATTAAACAAATACAAATACAAAATCTCATTATTCAATTCGATTCGGTTCATATAGAACCCTACGGAGGAGTGTAAAAATAGAGAACGAGTTGATTAGAGAAAAGAAAAGTAAAAGGAAAAGAAAATGGCGGGCGGTGGCTGCGCATTCCAAATGCGGTCGGCTGACGTCATGATGACATCATGCCCATGTCACCACGCTTCCAGGAGGCTCCCGCGGCTGGATTTAAAAAAAATTGTAGAAAGATCCAACGGTTTGGATCATTTTGACATCGTTTGAATGAGAAAAAATGTTCCAACGGTTGAAATTTAAATCCAACTGTTGAAATAATATATTTTTATTTTTCCATTATTTGCAATTAATATTTGGTCTGAAAACCCTATATAAATACATCATTTTTTCCTATTTTAATCACACTTCTCGCATCTATCTCATTCTTCTTCATATTTTGCATGTTTACCAACCATATTTTTGTTATGTCTTCTTCCTCAAGAAGGGGTATTCTTAAAATTCCTCAAGTGATGCTCCCGACACTTCCGAAGAAGAAGAAGTGTAACATCGCCACTTTGATTTCTAGTTATTTATTATTGTTGTTTTATTTTGTATTGTGTTTTAGTTGAATTTCATGTATGATTGAATTTTAAATTCCACGTGTTCGTTATTTTAATTAAAATTCCGTGTGTTGTTACTTTAACATCAAGTTTTTTTTTATTTAAATCCCATTTATTTTAGTTAATATAAGTTTGAACTCAATTCATTATTTGTTAACTGAAAAAATGTAAAAAAATGAAATTTTTTCTTTTTATATCGAAATCTGTATTTTTTATATCATAATTATTTAGGGGAGAAATTAAAAGGAAAACATTACTTATAAAAATTTAGTTAATCTTTTACTAAAATGATATGTAAAAAAATGTGTTGAGTGTATTTTATTAACGATGCTGGGATGTAACACCGTCCTCAAGTCTATTTACTTTTTAGTAAATAATGTAATAAACTTTGAATGTATGATTTATGAATTTACGTGGTTGTAAATTTTTATTATTTCTTTTGCGTGTATAGTAAATTGCACGCGGGGCCCATGTCGAGAACGGGAGCCATCCGATATTTTCGAGACGTCATATTATATCGATCTTATCCTAGATAATATGTATATGGTGGTGGATATCCTAGTTGGGCCGTACCAAAGGCATGAGGTTGATCGGTTGGTCAAACACGACCCAAATATCAGTATCAGTAATTTATGAGATAGCAGCGCGAAAATGAATTTCGATGAATTCGAAATTAAAGTTGGGAAGCATATTCATTCTAAGGTCCATTAGTGATTGAGAACATGTGTTATATTTTATTTGACCTGATAAAATAAAATATAATTAAAACAGTCCGGAAAATATAACTTTCAGGGTCGAATGTACACATCGGGACATAAAGGGATGATCTCCCACATGAGTGGGGTCCACCCCACGAAATTATTTGAGACAATGGCAGGGGATGTGCGGTTGGAGGAATGGGAGGAGTGAGGGAGGGGTTTGACTTGAGGGAAATGGCATCAAAGGTCATTTGGGGGCCATAGCCCCATTATTATGGAAGTAAAAGCCAAAAGGAGGCCATATCCTCTCCCATTCAATTTCCAACACATTCAATTTTGAGAGAGAAGCCCTTCAAATTCTCATTTCCTCCATTGTCATTCGAACCAAGCTCAAAGGAGGAAGGAAGGGAAGAAAAGAGGAGAGGAGGAAGGAAAAACTAAGCTAAATATAGGTAATGATCTCACCTAAGTTTTCTCCTTCTCTAATACTCTCATATGATTGTGTAATCATATTTCATACCCCTAGGATTGTTCTACACATTGAGGAGTGTAGAATGAGAGGTTGGTAGGTTGGTTTCTAACCAAAACGAACTTGGAGAACAAAGTTGATCGGTTCGCCGGAAAATAACCCTTTAGAGGTTATTTGTGTTAATATGGGTTTTATGATGATGAAATCTTATTAGGAACTTGTCTAAGGTATTCCTAGAGCTTTCACGGAGTTGAAAGAGTCGCCGAAATAATCGCCGAAGCTAGATAAAGTTTGCCGGAGTTTCGCCGGAGTTCAACCGGGAGGGTATAACTTCTTAAAGGCTTCACTAAGGTGAGAAGACGGCTTTATGCTTTATAACTTTTGCGTGAGGCATGAGATTACCTAAAGTAATCAAGAACATGTTTTATGGAATGATTAAAGATAATCAAGTATGTGTTATGCCATGATTATATATAAAACATAGTTGAAAAGCATGTTATACATGTTTGATGATTAAAAATGTGATAAATTATTATGTATGATGTTATAAGGATCCAAAAAGGTATTTTTGGATTAAGGACGTACATAAATACAACTGTATAAAGATTCACATTAATCGGACTTCGGTTGGGCGGTCAAACGGAGGTTGACCCCCAAGTCAAAGGCTATACCCGATCGGGTATGGCTAAATACCCGACCAGGTACTAGTTAAAAAGAGGTTACTGCATCACTATACCCGACCGGGCATGGGTGAATACCCGACCGGGTATTGGGTAAAACACCCAATATGCAGTTTTTGAGTGAGTTTACGTGGGCCGTTCGAGTGGGACCCATCCACGTTGGTTACTAAGGATTATTTCATGACTATAGGGCTAGGTATTGTACATAGTTGAAGGAATAAATGGTTAGCCATATCCAGGTTAGGATTTGGTAGAAATAAGGTTGGGGTTGAGTACCCTTGAGCGGTAAATGATCTAGAATACTCCAGGTTGGGGTTGAGTATCCTTGGACGGTAAATGATCCAGAATACTCCAGGTTGGGTTTGAGTACCCTTGGGCGGTAAATGATCTAGAATACTCCAGGTTAGGGTTGAGTACCCTTGGACGGTAAATGATCCTAAAACACTCGGTAGTATAATATAGATGTAGAATATAGCTAGTGAGCTAGACATTCGGGACAAAGATGAGAAAGGTCGAGTAATTAAAGACTTTATCTCTAAAATACTCTTTAAATGTAAATGACCTACGATTTAAGTATTTTACAAGTATATATATACGGTATGTATCATCGGGTGGATGAGTTACACCTATATATATGTATCACTCTATATTTTGGGTCTCGTGTCTGAAACATTAGTTATTCCTCATATAGCCTGCTTGTCACTAGTACTTCTTTCTGTGAAGTACTGACCCCTCCGGGGCCTCACTATTTTTCAGGTTAAGACTACAGTCCTCCTACCTGCACCTTTGCATAGGGTGATTGTCAAATAAGGAAGACGTGGTTCGTGCTCCCCATTTCGATTTGAACTTAATTATGCTCATGGATATTTTAAACAATGTTTTCTATTAAAACATCTGGGGGGCTTGCGTGCCCGTGTTTGCCACGTGTGGCTAAATATCAAACATACTATTTCCGCATTTGTTTGATTATGATTTTGATGTTGATTGTATGTGTTTACTAATCGGTTTGGCAATGGAATCTATCGGATGCCTTGTATAATTTAATAGGGATGAACGATTGTTATCTTTATTGGATTGTACGGCGGTTGTCTACGTGGCACGAACATGGTCCGGGGCGTGACATGAGATGCATGAGAACATGAGTCTAAACATGGTTTTCAAATGGACGGAGTCCATTTTAACATTTTGACCTTCCCACCACTACAAATGGTCTAAAAGGCTTGTCGACTAAAGGATATTTTTACATGGACTTATTTTAGTCCCAGATGAGGCCAGATGAGACCTGATAGGACCAAACCTGATCAGATCTCTTTACAAATTATACAGAGAGTATACATCTATTAGACCATATCGGACACAAAATTTCAGTCCAAGTAAAAACATTCTAACTATTAGATATCTCACGTCAAGAATTTTAATCAAGGGGTCTCTATTCTTAATATAATGTTTCATTGAATTTTCTAGTCTGATTCGATATGGTCTAAATTAGTCTGATATATTTTTGATCTCTGTATATTTTATAACTATCGAGGTCTGGTCTGATGATTTTAAGTATAGTCTAATCTTTAATACGGTGTTTAAGTGTGGTCTAAGAATGAAATAAGTCAAAGTAAAAAACATCCTTAGTAAAATTAAACGCAACCATACTCATACGATTCATATCATAGCCACCAAAAACACAATTGAATCCATTGCAAACTAATTCCCATATTTTGTATTAGTCATTACTTCCCTTATTATCTACTCCATACTATTTTAATGTTGATACTCATGCTTCATATTCCCTTTGTCCCATTCAAAGAATCAAAGATGCTCAATTTCCTATTTTGAACATCCCAACCAAACAAAGGTTCTCGTAATCTCATTCTCTATTTTAGGAAACAATTAAATTCTTAAATACAGAGTATCAATTTTATCACCATCACCATCATCATTACCCAGTGTCGCAAAGGCTCCCATTTATGGTGAGGTAAGGGAGGGTTGAATGTACGCAATCTTACCCTTGTACTAAAGATCAGAGAGACTGTTTCCGGATGACCTATAGTGAACATCGCGTCCAAAATTGTTTGGACTGACCGATGCTTCATAACAAAGAAGCGCATACAGTTTAGTGAGTCATTTTATTTTATTCCATCATATTCTCAAGCCAAAAAATAGTTAGTCTTTGGCTCCATTGCAAATGATGGAAAGAAATAACAATTTTATCACCAAATATTAAAAACAATACTCCCTCCGTCCCCCAATTAAGTTACCACTTTCCTTTTTGGGCAGTCCCTAAATTAAGTTCACATTTCTTTACATTCCTTATTTGGCAAATTATCTACATCAAAACAGTGTCAAACAGTGCAAAACAATACCAAACAGTGTCAAACAGTGTTTGAACAGTGCAAAACAGTGCACTCCACAGTAAAGTCAAATTTATTTTCTTAATACATGTGAAGTCAAACCGGGAACTTAATTGGGGGACGGAGGGAGTATATCTATAACATCGAAAGCTATCATCAATAACTCATTATATTATACGGAGTATATATAATTATATATACCCATCAAAACTATTTCTCAAAATATACTCAAGTTAACATATTTAATTATTGTTTAAATAATCGTGCCATTTTACAATGTGAACCATTGAACATGACAAAGCTAGTATCTTATATACTTTGTATTACCTTTTCCATCTCGGTTTAATTATCCATCCTACGAAGCTTGTTAGGGACCTTGTTAAAAAATCACACAAAATTGATAAAACACAAACCTTTGTTAGGAAGGAAGTTATGGAACCAAATATTGCATTCATGCACACATAAACTCTAACTTTTTTGTTATTTCGAACATAAAAATAAGCACAACTCTAGCATATCTTGAAAGTTAGTGCATTCGTGTTTACATGTGGGTCTGTGGTAGGAATGGACTGGGCCGGGCCGGGCCAGGCCGGAACAGGCCCGGAACCGCTACTGTTTGGGCTCGGACCGGACCGGGACCGGTTGGTCGGTTCCGGGCTTTTAGCCCGTTTGGGCGGGTCGGGCTCGGGCCCAGTTTTGGGCGAACCGGCCCGGGCGGTTCGGGCCGAGCCCGGGTCATATTTTTTTTTCAATTTTTTTTCTTTTCCTAGGGTAGGGCTGGGTGTTTTAGGGAGGTTTGGGGGTGGGGGTGAGGGGGGGGGGGGGGTCGGGGGATAACAAGAAAGCAAAAAAAAATAGACATTGACCCGGGCCCGGCCCGGCCCGGCCCTGTTAGGCCCGGACCCGGTATCAACCCGGGCCGGTTCCGGGCCCAATATTTTGCAAAAAAAGCCCGCCTGGGCCCGACCCGGAACCGGACCGGGTCCATCCCTAGTCTGTGGAAATAATTCATCTGATCTATTCAACTACATGGCTGACAATATCGTCTTATTATAATGAAATTTTTATTCATACCAAATATGATACCAAAACAAACAAGCCAGTTCCTGAGAAAATCACTCAACCAAATAAAGGTTTACTCTTCAGGCAAGAGCATATGAAACTGAAATGGCGCACGAATTAAAACTGCCTCAGCTACTTAAATTATTCAGATTACATTTGTGAACTGCTAAATGCTTAATGCATACACATTGATGGAGAGAAATGGCGCTTCCGAGATTGATCATGTCAGCTCATCAAGGTTAAGCACCTTTAGGAGGAGGAGCAGGAGGTTTAGGAAGGTAAGGCAAGAAAGGAGTGTCATGTTTGATAGGACCGGGCCTCACAGAAGCTTTTGAACTTGGTACTGGATCGATAGGCCCATAGTCTTCCAAATTCAACTTTCCTGCAGCTGTCTCCTGATCAAGGTTTTTTTTGTCATAGACACCACTATCCTGTGCATAATAAGATTTGATGATGTATAGTTACACCCTCCACATAATCGGATCGACGCTTTAGAAACATGCCACATATTAAAGAATATCATGAAATGATATTGCTATCTCTATAAATGTCGATCACAAATGGTACGCTCGGTTTGTTTCTAGGTGAGTTAAGGTTCTTCTAGTTTAATTTTCAAGTCATCTCATTTGTTTACTATTTCATCATCGGAACTTAAGGTACTTCTAGTGTTGGAGAATCTCCGAGTCATCAGAGCGTAAGATGTCGTTTTAAGTTATTTTAGCAAACTCACCTGGGGAAACCTCCATCAAAAGTGACTTTTACTGCATTAACAAGAGTGAGCCTACCTAATAATTATCCAAACAGCTTTTTAATGTATGCTATGCACATCGGCTCACCATTAACTCACCTAATTTTAAGTACACATAAATTCTCTTAACTTCATCAAGTTGACCTAAGTTCACACCATACACATTGACCATATAAGCTTCTTTGCAAAATAGCATTTAGAATTTAAAAAATTATTACATAATATGCATTCAATTCCTATAAGAACACCAGTAGGCAAAAAAACATATTGGGATGAAACAACAAAAAGAATTTGCGGAAGATGAAGGAAATTTAAAGAAGCCATCATCAGATGACATGGGGAAAAACTTTTATTATATTCGTGTACCTTTAGCTTCCGGTTCTTGATTGTGGTAGTCATTCCACACCTCTGCCATGTCAAAGGCTCACCTAAGGTTGTTAGATAATTAAGATCAGCACATTCAGTGTTCAATGATATGAACACAACACCATGCCCATTAGTGGATTGATTTAAGCAAGTGTAGATTTTTTTGACTAGTGGATATTTTTAGCTGTTTGTTTAAAAAGGGTGTTTCATAAAATTTAACGTTTGAACTTAGTTATAAATACTTCATATCACTGTTCTAAAAATCGGTTTAGTCAGACCGATTAATCGGTCCAGTCGGCCTAGTCGGTCCTAACCGTAGAGGCCTAATCGGCTTAGTCGGTCAAAAAATCAGCCCAGTCGGCCAAAAAATCGGCCTAGTCGGCCGCCTAGGTGCTAGGCGCCCCTCAACCGCTCGACTAGCGCCTAGCGAGTTTTAGAACAATGCTTCATAGACGGTGTTTATACACACATTTGATTATTGACATCTTTATTTTCAAAAATAGTAAACACTGTTTAGAACTTTAGATTAATTTATACGTAGTATGGAGTATTAGTTATGTGTGCATGTATTGCCTCATCATGTTTACCAATACGGTAAAAAAGGATGAATATTTAATGTTAATAGGAGTAAATATTTGTACACAGAATGCAATAGTATATTAATTAAATATTACTAATAGTATAAGTCAACCAAATCATAAATAAAACACTCATTAACATTTGGGTGAAGAAAATGTACAATGAGAATGCAATAAAGTCTAAGTGAACTCTCTGCTTATATTAGGTTGTTAAAAAACAGCTTGTTGGGGCCCATAAGCTAGACTCTTACTAGTTATTTGCCAAAAAAGAGATTATTGGTTTTTTGACAGTCAAACTGCCTAAAAGTGGTCACAGCAGCCAAAAGTAGCTGGTCAACCAATTGCCAAACAAGGCCATACATGTCAAAGAGAAAGAATAGTTTATACATTGCCATTTGACCAGTAAAAGTGCCACAAAATCATCTCATCTCAATCAATATAGCCCACTTGTTTATCAGCTTGATTTCTTGGAAAGTTGGAAAAAATGCAATAAAAAGGGGGAAAAGGTATTAGCAAGTGGAAAGCAACCTTCTCAATTCTACAGTTGAACAACTTCCTAAACAGCACGTGCCTTGTTTAATGAACCGTAGAGGGAAATCTTTAAACCAGAGATATATCAGAGATCTTGCAATTTTGAAAAAATAAATTAAGTGCATCAAAATTTGTTTATTGAGTTTTTCACCAAATGGTTAAAAATCTCTATTCAGAGTTTGAAACACAGATTTGGGGATCAAAATTGTATGCTTGGCTTAGTCCTCTTACTATTGGTATCAACTCATCATCCCATATCGCAACAAATAATTACTCAGAATTGTGAAAAAGATTACATTAAAAACATGTTTGGTAAATCGTTTGGTGACTCTATTTTTCGGCTTATCAAGCTTATCAACCAACTTTCTAAACAAACGCATTAACTTTTGATTTCACGCGTTGAATAGTGTAATAATTAGAAAAAGTAAGGTTGATGTTACTTTTCTGGCTGTATTGGATGAAGTTACTGTAGATGACTATTTTTGCTATTTTTTCATACAATTGTTTCTTTGTTTTACTAATAAAATGTATTTTAAATACTCCCTCCGTCCCAATTTTAATGGTCTTGTTGCGGTTTAGGAGGCTTGACCGATGATAAAGCAAACGAATCAATGTCCGCACTCAAATTATTTGTAGCAAACAAAATTTACTCATTCATAAACTACATTAAAAGTTTTACAAAGTCGCAAAAAACTGAATCAAATTTGATAAAAAATTGATATAAGAAGTAAGAGATTATCAGTGATTTGTGTTGACCAATTGAATATGAACTAGGACCATCAAATTGGGATGGAGGTAGTATTTTTTCCCATAAATCAGCAGAATAAGCTAATACAGGCACTTCAGCCAGAACTTCATAGATTTCAGTAGAAAAAGCCGATTCAGCCCATTTTAGTGTTAGCAAACGGGCTCAAGAAAAAATATATGATAAAAATCTAAAATCGTACTCTTCAGTCTCAAGCTAGAAAATTAACTCCAGTCTTATTTTAATTATCACACTATTTTGAAGTATAGTGTTTGATAAAAAGAGCTGATAACAAAAAAGTAGATTATGAAACAAGCACTGAAACATACGGAGTAACACATACAGTAAAAAAGATCATCCTGAATTCCTTCACTTTGACAGTGTTATGCTTTAATCCTATTTAGGTAATTTCATGTGTTCCATACATTTTAACCGCTAAAACCTTTGGAATAGACTATGATGCGTTTGGTAAAACCCATTTGGCTGATACGACAGAATCTGATGAATTTAGAAAAGGGAAAATAGTTTGAAATCCATTTCAATCAAGGAAAAACCTACACATCTTGCTTTCTAGCTCTAAGCGGAATAAGCCAAATCATGCTATCAAATGGAATCCAACTATTAAGCTTCTGTCCAAGTGTTCAGCCTATGGATGAGTCAATTAATTTAACAGAATCAAGAGACAAAACTCAAAAGCCTTAACTTTATGAGTAATACATCAAGAATCAAGAGACAAAACTCAAAAGCCTTAACTTTATGAGTAATTCATCAAGAAACTTCACCCAAAGAAAGAAAGGTTCGGCAGGGTAAGTACCTGATCTCGAAAAGGTGCAATCTTGGGCGGTGGAGTAGAAAAGGTAGATGAAAGCAGCCCCTATCACCAACACCAAAACTGAGAAGCCCCCAAAGGCCTTCATCTCGCCAACTCAGTTGGGAAAAGGCCTTTCGTGTCTTTTCTTTGTATCCGAAGCATAAGCGGCATAAATTTTTGGAATTGGACGGAGAAAATTACAAGGAGAAGGCGAAGAGGAGGTATGGCAATGTTGATAAGAGAGTGGGGAATAGTAAAGAGGGAGGAGGAGGAGTCATGTGGACAAAGAGTGGTGGTGTTGGGAGGAGTAAATCTGGAGAGTAATTTTGTTGCAGAAAGCGATACAGCAGAGTGGGAGAGAGAGGGACTGTGTGTATGGGGAATAGTGAAGAGAATTGAATGCCATTATGCCACTGAATTCTTGACGATTGGCATTTGGGCGCGACGGCATCTTTCCAGCTCTTCTCGAAGAAAAGCTAGTAAACAAAGCTATAAAGGGGTAATTAATAAGGGAAACTTTTAAAATAATAATTCCATATATTTTAATAAAATATATTGCGCAATATTAATACAATATACGTGGTGTATTAATAAAATATATTTTAAATACAGTTGTCAGTTTAATCCCACATGATATAATAAATATAGATATAAATTGTATGAATTTTCGATCTTTACGTGGAACTCGAAATAGAGGAAACCACGAGACTTTTTAGGTTAATGTCCAAGTCCTCTCATTCTCATTAACACCATCTTCACCATTACAATGTACAACTTGAGAACTCGTTAATGGAGTCTTTGAGCTAGTCTAGAGAGATGAAGGAAGGAGATGTAAAAAAGGAATCCTTCAAATTGAGGCCAAGCTCCCTATTTATAGAAAAAGGGGGGATGTTCTCGGTTCCTCAAGGGGGGATGTTCTCGGTTTCCGATTGGCCTAGATATTCAGCCCTTGAGAGAATGCTCCCTATTTACATTCGGTGAGCACAATTTTTGATGACATCTTTGAAGAATAGATGTCCTTTGTTTGTCACATAGTGATGAGTGCTGAATAGGTAAATCCATAAATCATTAACATTAAAGATTTGAGGAGTTCAAATTGTGGTCTCCAATCTTTGACATCTTCTTTCCATCTATATTCACATCACTTTTGGCTTTTGTCAAGATTTTGTTCTTATTGACATAAGTGACCATTCCTTTCCTTTCAGAGCAGATTGTCGTAGTATCATCGTCGAATGATCCTTGATGTTGAGATGTGATACTATGTGAAAACATCAATCATCTTTTGATATTCATAAGTTTCAATTGATATTGATTAATACCACTTGATAATGGATGAATTCATTACATTTGTTGTTGTTTCAAGATTGTGCTTGCTCTGTCAGATTTATCCTTTTGAATGTCTTTGTGTAATTCACTTGAGGTGAATTTTTTCTGAACCTCTCGATCCCAGTATTTGATAAGCAGAATAGTCTATGACCATTAGGTAAGATGTATGGTGGCTTTGGTCATATAGTTGTTTTGTCCAGGTATGGAATTTTTTAGGAGAGTATGGATAGTGGAGTGTAAAGTTTTCTACTCTATGTAATGGTTGATTTTCAAGAATGATGTCAACCAAATCTTTTATGTGATTTGATAAGTAGGTTCTTTGGTATAGGAAAGAGGTTAAGGTGGATTTTTAGTGACTGTTGGGGATATTTGGGCAATTGGTTACTGGTCTATTTCTGAAAATTTGTGGTTAAAGGATAGACCAGTAGGTTTGTATGTTCTGGAGGTTTGGGATAGTGTTTTTGAAGCCACTTTCAATATTTTTCCATTTTTGTATTTCTCATTAGCTAAGAGGAAGCTAAATGAGATTACTCGGTGTTACCCCTTGTAAAATGATTCTTAATTATGAGATTATCCTTCTAATAAATCTACTAATTGGATTTTTTGAAATTTAAGATCTTTTTGTTTGTAAAAGGAATTGTTTTATTTGAATGTTCCTTTGTATGTAACATGAGTGAGATAAAGACTTGAACATTCAGAATAAACTGAGTTACTGGAGGCGTGATTGAATATACCTCTTCATGGACATCTTTCATTGATGATGTTGGCCAAACTTGGTGATGTCATGAGAGTAGGTTCAACTTCTTCTTTTCGTTTTCATGGCAGTCCCTTGAATGAGAATGTCTTTCTTAATTTGGCATTTTGAATCCAGAGTTTGAGTAACAACTTGTTGTCTCCTTATTTCCTTTTCCTTCCATTTAGATCTCCTTCATTGTGTTTACCATCTCTTATGACTATAAGTGTTTTGGGAATTGGTGGTTGATCTTTGGTTCAAAATAAGCTGGTTAAGAAACTGACTCTATGAACAACCGCTCTGATACCAATTGATGGTCCCATGTGAGGTAAAAGTGTATATGGTGTGGGGGAGGGGTGAATAGACTTACATGTTTTTGAATTATCAACCTTTTTTTCCTCTGGCAGAGTGAGATTCAATATCTTTTGGGAGATATAGTACCATTCAGCAGAAGTCTTGACCTCATACTTGTGACACTTTATAGTAACAAAGATTATGACTCTTTAGTTTGATGGGAGATGATTTAAACTGAGTGCAAATGTGTTTTGTCAAAATCAGCTACCTCAAGGAGCAGGTTGCCAAACCTTAAGAAGCAAGCTGCCAAATCTCAAGGAGTAGGCTGCCGAATAAGATTACTGCTTCGGTGTTAAATACAAAGTTAAGAACTATGATCTAAAACATTGTTGGACTTTTAGTGTAGACCTAAACACATAAGTATGAAGGATTTAAATCTACTTAAACATAGATCTCCTTGAAGAGCCAAGAACGAGGAACGGGGAGATTGAGATTAAGTAAACTGGATAGCTTACTGATTAGTATTTTGAGGAGGCTGTTTAAGTTGACTAGAAAGATGTGAAGGTGAGTAAGAACGGTTTGTGTGTTGTGGGAACTGAATATAAAAGGTTACACTAGATATATTCTGGTTCAAAGGTGGTGTAATCCTCCTACATCCAGTCCTAACATCTTTCAGATGAATTTTCACTAAATGAATATACCCATTACATTTAGTGCCCAATCTACCCTTGGCTACATGCATAGATTGTGGGGTTTTTCACAAGGAATTTGAACACCATTCCAAGCTACTCAGTCCTCCAAGGTTTTTAACTAATGACATTGACAAGCCAAAAGTTACTCATGTCCTTGTCCTTCACTTATCTTCTGGATTTGATCACAAAGCCCTCCAGAGTTTACAAACTAGTCTAGTTTACAAGAGTAAAGCTAAACTACCAACTAACTAAGCTCTAAAGATGTATATGAATTTGAACTATTTTAAGAGTTTAGGAGAGTGGGGCGAGAACTAAGAGGGTGAAGGAAGATCAACACTTTCTTTTGCTTGATATGTCGTATGATCTCATCTTCCTTCATAGCTCCACACATCTTGTTCTCATGCACTCCTGTATTTAAAGATTGAGTTGTTGAAGGCCTTCTATTGGCTGAAGAGATTCAATCTTGACTGTTGCTTGATCCACTTGATTTTTCAACTTGACTGAAAAGACAACATGGTTGGTTTTTGTCTTCTTAATTGTAACACGGATTGTATCTTTTTCTCAACTTTTGTTCCTCATTTCAACGCATATGAAAAAGATAAGATATTTAATCTTTGGCCGTACGAAAAATAGAGCAAGCTGATTTTCAGATTCATTCAATGGTTCCTTTAGAGTAAAAAGTGCTTGATTTTAATAAAAATAATGTTATAAGAAATTATTATGAAGTGGTAAACATTTATTATAAAATTATGTTTTATCCTTTCTTTTTATTTGACCGCAAGTTGGTCTTTTGACTTATTGTCTTTGTTTTGCTGTTGAGAAGAATTGAAGATTTCGGTGGCCTTGGCTGAAAGACTAAGTCAGGGGCCGGGTGAAAAATTTCAGTAGGCTACTGATTATAGTTTTCAGGAGGCTGCCGAGTAATAAGTATATTCGGTTGACTCTTTTTTTTAAGATAATGATTGGTTTATATTTATAAAAGAAAAAATGGAAACAGATCAATGTATGCAGCATTTATAGTCAACCTACTTAATAAACATCATGAAAAAGCAATCAAATGCAAGCACATTCTAACCAAAGCCCAACAAGGCAATTTTTATGTGAAGACAACCTCAAAGCATTGTGCTCCTTTTTCCTTTGTCATCTTGCTTGCTTGCTAACCTTGGTTACGTGTGGATTGCATTGCATTGGTATCTCCAGCATCAACATGTGTAGTTGTCTCTGAGGGAGGAGCTTCAGAACATGCTCTCAGGACGGCTTCATTCTGCCAAACACGGCGGAGGCGCTTCTTGGCGTTGGCCTTATGGGTGTTGGTGAGCTTTATTCTCTTCCAAACTAGGCCGCTGGAGTCGTGCTTCTTCACTATTTCCATCACCCTTGTTCCCCATAATGCTCCCCTCGCGGATGCCACCGGCTTTAGGTCTCTGTTTCCGTCGTTATCATTTAGTTGACTCTTTTTCATACCTTTTTGCTCTTTGATTCTTTTCTTTGTTTTGGTAGGTTTCTTCTCTTTTTAATACTCTCTTTTTATTTTTCTTGAGTACTTTCTTTTCAAGTCACAAAGTAGCATATTACAATAAATAAACAAACAAGAGTAAAGAAATAGGAGATCAAGTGATCTAGTCTAATACAAGACAGGGAAAGGGGGTGGCATCATCAAAATCTTTTAACCATCAAAATCTGGGGACCTAACAGACTCCCCTACTACAAACCCTTATTGCCGTAGGTAGACACCCCTCCATAACCTGCCAGAAAAATAATTTAATTTTAGGAGGGATATTAAGTTTCCATACCTTTCTTCATCCTATCCATCTCCCATGTGTCGAACTCCCCCTGAGATAGCGATAACAACTTCTCACTGAAAAATTCTCATCCCCCCTCCACCAAAACACATCTAGTCGGTCATGTATACTAACCAGTAACCTGAGAATATGTTTAGCCTCATCTGGAATAAAAGGAGATTGAACCTTGTGCATATGCCATCCTTTGCCATCCTTCGTGCGCAAAGCTGCCACATTCATATCAAAAATTCCGGCCGGCTTAGGAGAAGTAATTCATCCCGAATTCGAGCCCGGAAGCCATGCATCCGTCCAAACTTGAGTATTCCTACCATTCCCAACTATCCTACGAATATTAGCCGCCACTACTGATCGAGATTCCAAAATACTACTCCAAATGGAGGATAGAGTACTTCCCGCCCGTGCCTCCAAAAAGTGTTATTTGGATAATAACGAGCTTTAAATATTCTTCCTACCAAGGAGGTTGTATGTGTAGTTAATCTCCATGTCTGTTTAGCTAACATAGCTATATTAAATTTCCCGATCTTCCTGAATCCCAAACCGCCCTCCCCTTTCGATCAACACATATCATCCCAATATTTCC